CCCCGCATCCCTCAAGCTGCTGCAATCTGAAATGTTTTTGGGCAAAACCGGAACTCGTACCTTATTTCAAATAGATTGTCACACTGGAAAGAATATTAAAAACCATTCATTTTTGTCGAAGGAAGATGAAATTCTCCTGCTTCCTGCTAGACAATTTCAAGTTGTGTCCTGCTGCAATTCTGGCAACGGACTCCATATAATACAAATTAAGGAAATAGATCCAAAGTACCCATTACTGGAACTTATTCCTGGTGTCTCATCAGGTAATGATTCATTATGGTTAGGAGAAGGCGCGGCTCAGAATTACAAACAAATGAGTCAGATTTTTCTGTATTTTGTGTAAGCGACTGAGCGAACAGGTGAACACAAGGTCTAGACCCATCTTGGCAGAAGAGAATTTTTCGCAACTACGAGTTTTCGGTTCCGTTTCGATTTTTCTCTTATTTCTTATGTAAACGCATAACATAGAAAGCGATGAATGATTATGTAGTTGTATGAAAATGATATCATTATTTATAAATTTTCATTCATGATATGATTCTGCTAACAATGTTTCTTCATCGATGTGAGTGGTGATTGCACTTTATTTTACTCTATTTTGTACGAACAGATTAATAGATGTTGATGACCAGATAGCTCACACTCGCACCCATACCCATATCCACATCCTCAAGATTCCCATTTTCCTTATCTTTTTGTAATTGTGTTGGCTGATCAAGATAGAAACACATATCAAACCCTTGTAATTAGCATAGGAACAGGAGATAAATTTCTTTTCTTTTACAGTCAAATTTTAATATTCAACAGTGAACTACTGGTAAATGCTTTTTTAGGGTTAAGAACTACCAAGCTGTTTTGGTTTTTGTGTCTCCTACAGTGGAATTCAAAGGGACTCTCGCTGATAGTACTAGGATTAGCAATATGCCCTATGTGAGATCATCTATGCTTTGTACTATCCAAAAAGTGTAATCTTGATAACTGAAACAACTTGCAACGGTACATGAAGAAGCGGTAATATAAAGTGTACCACAACAATACATTGAGTATCTGAGAGTTATAAAAACAGGCGAGAACCTCTATACTTGACAAGTCATTTTAGAAACATCATGCTCATGAAATTCGCTATTTGATCATTGTGGGTATAAAAATGCTCTCTGACAGTGAATGTTAGGGTACTTGTTGGTGATCGCCCCGTCAAAAGAGGGTGTGTGGGTGTGGGTGCTTATGCGTTGATGTGGGTATAAACTCTTAATACAGCCCATCCTACACTAACCGTTACCCACATCCACACTTATCAGTGGACGTTAGCAAAATAATACCAGCGTTACTGCCAAAGCAGTAAATTGACATTTGTTCAAACAATCACTGCTAGAATCAAATCAATTAGTCAACGCATTCTCGAATAATGAGGCAATGTATCAGCATCCGAGTTGCAGCATTAATAAGCTAAGCCAACAATTTTGGTCTGATCTGGCCTGCCAGGCAGCAAGCGAAGTTGGCAGCTCTGCAGCAGATATCCATACAGTGTTTTATCAACATGGATGGTATATTCACCCGCTTCTACTTTTAAATAATACAAACTCTGCCAATGTATTCCTTCGCTTTACAAAAGAAAATACCACATGAAAATGTTGCTTTCGATTTGATGTATCTATCTAAACTGCAAATTTAATGCTATGGAATACTTAAAATCGAAATAGCTGAAATGAAAAATTTCTTGTTTAACCAAGATTTCTTCTCCTGATGAGTAGATATCAGGTGTGAAAAGGAAGATTGCTTTACACAGATATAATAAAGACTTAACTTTTCCACAAGAGTTTTTCGATTTGAGAGGAGTCTTCAAAAAGAAAAGCTTCTGTCTTCTTGGCTTCAATCTCATTCGAAATCTTTATTAATATTTAGAGCACAAAGAATATAATTCATATTTTGATGTTGTATATTTGAAAATCTGAACGAAGATGAAGTTTTATTGCAAAATTGCACTTGTTCTATCTTCCAGCATTAGTTTTTACAATTCTATGGAATGTTAGAACTTCTTCGATTAGATAATACATTTGATCTTTTGCATGTACAAATCTTGTATAAAAACAAGAACACACTAATCTGGCGGATTCCATTAAGCTCGTTGTAGAGATTTTTACTACCAGATGATAATATTAAATTTAGTGAGAAATGATATCATCTTATTTAAAACCTTCTTAATTGGCTAAATAAAGCACAATGCACGTAATTTCGAACCAAGCTAAAGCTATACACCTCGATTCGATAGCCTTATCTACGAAAGTTATCAGTCCGCAGAAAGTAATTTTCTTCGATGTACCCAATCATGTTATTTTTGTCGGCCTCTTTGTATCAAAATTAGAAAAGAAAGTAATATTATGGATGTTAATAAGTAACAGGAAATACAATTGAGAGTGTAGCATTCGTTTCTGACTGCCAAAAGTATTCATACATACGATAACTAAGGCAAATAATCAACATTCAAATTTCCATTCTATTTATTTTCCTTTATACATATTGACGCTTTAATTTTAGCACATGAAGACTCTTACAAAAAGGCTGATAATGTACGCGCCGATATCTACTGCATAATTTGGCTTGATCATAACGTGAATAGTAATGATACCAAAGATACAGAACAAAAATTGGTTTCTCTTCGTAATCGAATCGAAAAGTTTCAAAACACAACACATTGCCTGAGATACATCGAAAAACTATCAGAAAAAGATCGACTAGTAATTATTGCAAGTGGTCGATTGGGAAAAGAAATAACGCCACCTATTCATGAACTTCCACAAGTTACGTCAATTTATGTATACTGCATGAATAAAAAGTTTCATGAACAATGGGCTTGCAAATTTGCAAAAGTGAAATTAAGTTGAATGATTTCACTTGTATTTTATCATTTCTTATTTGTAGGTGAAAGCCGTTGTTACTGATGTTGATGAACTTATTTCTAGAATTAAAACTGATCATAAAACGTTACAACAAACATCGTCAACTAAGAATTATAACATGAGTGCTCGTACAGGTAACTCAAAATAGGTGTTCACAGTCAGTTTCTTTTTTTACAAGAGTGGAGATATAGAGTGCGGGTGTGTGAATGTGAATGTGATTGTGTTGTGGGTGTGGGTATAGGTGGGTTGTTACGAAGTCTAGGTCTGGGTGTTTGCGTAAGTACCACTGTTAGCATTCTGTTAACCCATACCCACACCTAATCACATCCACACATCAGTGCTTAGTTGAATGATCGCTGGTAAAAAGAAATGAAAAGGATAGCTTCCAAAAACTTCATTTTTGTAATTCAATGTTTTTCATTTAGTTCCATCAAACGCCAAAGCGCCAAACAATTTGTTGGCATCATCTAAACAGAAACGAGTTTGCGCTCACTGTGGTTCAAATAAAGTTTCCGATGGTTATAATTCTGCTTGCTTTTATTCTGTTTACCTTTGTTTTAATTGCGATAATGACTTTTGTGCTTTGAACAATCCTCCTCATACTTACCATTATTATGATAATTATTATGTTAATGTTCCTGTTCCTATCATGTCCAAAGAATTTGATTATTCTTCTGTTAAACATATATGAATTCAGCTAGCTCTTATTCGACATGCTTCGCACACTCGTACTTCAGTTTTTAGTTCTTCCATTGTGTATTTCAAAATAAAATTCGCAACGAACGACACAGAATAAATCCAGACACTGAAAAGCTAGAAATCCGCGTCTTTTCCCTTCAAAATTGGTTACGAAGAAGGTAGGCGCGAGCATGGGTGTGGACATGAGTATGGATTGATGTGTCTGTAGAATATTTCCCAGTTTTCCGACAGCGCAATCGCACCCACATCTACAGCCACACTCTTCATTTTTTCGATCAAGAAAATAATTTCTCGTCAAGATAACGTTTTTTTACCAGGCTTAACCGAACGCAATTGAAATCAAAAAGTCCAAATCTTTAACCGGTTTCTCAAAATTTGTGACTGGATTGTTTTCTTGAAAGAGACACTTAAGAGAAAAAAGCGATTTTTTCATAAGGTCCATCCAAAGGTAATCTTAGCCGAAGAATTCGAATCTGCAGTAGTACTGTAAGAACTTTGTATTCGATTTCCTGGTTAGTTAAATTTATCCTACCAAACGAATATTCGTCTTTATGAAAAAACTTTATTTTCTCAAAGAAATGATTTCTTTCTAAAAAGAATCGACTTCACAATTTTGAAAGAGTTTGGGTGTGTACGTCTGTGGCTGAGTGTGGATGTGGGGTGTGGATGTGGGTGTGGGTGTGGGTGTGGGGGTGGGGGGGGGTGTGGGTGTGGGTGTGGGTGTGGGTGTGGGTGTGGGTGTGGGTGTGGGTGTGGGTGCGTGTGGATGAACGGAAGAAAACACACCCAGACCCAGACCCACACCCACCCAGACCCACACCCACATCCACACCCACACCTACACCCACAGCCACACCCTCACTGTAAATATTCATAAAAACAAATTATGAAATATGATAATTCGATTTTCTTAATAAAATTTCAAATGTATATCGCATATATATGAATAACTCATGGTCAATTATATTTGGATTGTTAAATAATTTCAATGTGTGCATACCAGCTAGTTCATGAGAAACAGCTGCAAAAATACTAAGACCGTATGATTCACGATCAGTATCATTTAGAAGATCTATGACATTATTAAATAGTTTGGTAACACTTTCAATCGCAATATCTGTCTGTTGTCTTTGAAGTTCCTGAACTAATAATGAATGACGTGCTCATAAATTTTTCATGATGGTATATTATCTAAAACACAGTCGCTCGAATTCGATGATGTTCCTTTTCTTTTGTTCTAAAAATTTCTGACTACATTTTTTTGCTATTGGCCATATTCGATTTTATTGATCGCTTCAATAGTTTCTAACTGCCTTTTCCTATAATTGTTCCATGAATGCTTGTATGTTGAAAGACGCCTTTCGCTTCCCAACATTGTGGTTCTAGTATTTTGAACTTGCTGCTTTATGCCGCTAAACGATGCCAAATCTCGTCCGCTATAAGTTTTAGTATTTAGTTTCAAGAGTCTGTCTTCAGTTATGTCACAAGCAACTTTTTCTCGTTTAATTTTTGTAACAAAATCCGGGTGTGGGTATCGATGAGCATAGCTATATCCACACTCACTGTAAAATTACAATATCTTGGTGGTAATAAGCTAAGGACACGAACTGTTTTTTCTCGTAAGCACATGCACTTCAAATTGGTGTATTCAAGAGATGAGCGGTTTCATCTACATATGGTGCACTTAACTGGATACAGTCTGCACAGACCTCAAGCATTGTATCAAAGTTAATCAAATGCATAAATATATTTTGATTAAATTAGAAAGAAAAAAAAATATTCTCAATGTAAAAGATTTATTTAATGTTGATGTCGATAAATACAAGCATTAAAAATTCCTTGATTAAGATTATTTAAATCGATATTTGAAACATAATTTGGAGTTCTTTTTGCTAATATTAGAATAGTTCCTGTTAATGAAACAGTAGTAAAAATAATTAATAGAATTCGATCAAATACTAAAGCAACATGTTGCCAATCATGAGCATTCTAAATAAATAGAAATAATGATTTAATGATTAATTCTTTTCTGATTGTTTTACTTTATTTTTTTTAATAGTTTTATTAAATTTTGTAAAAATTCTTTCAATTTCTTCTAAATGAAGTAATTTTTCTAACATTATAGAAAAAATAACATCATATGTATTATTTTGTGGTAATTTCATAAAATATTTTGTTTTATTTTGTTTAATTTGTTTAATTTTATATTGTTTTTCTGTCGATAAAAATAACAATGGTGATAAAATTTTAACAAAAAAATATTTCATCCATTTAGGCATTGATTTTTTATGATTGAGTTCTCGATAATAAATTGCAAGAGTTATTATTGCATTTAATATTGATAATGCTACAAGAGTCATTATAAATAATAAATATTTTCCTAATAATGGTACTATTATAGATGTTGATGGTATTAAATCAGCAAGTAGTGGAAAAAAGACTGTTAATGCTAATTCAATACTTATACAAAGAACAATTTTTTCACCTGATTGACTTGGTAAATAAAAAACAATTAATGTTAATAATGATATACCAACACAAGGAATTATTAAATGAACTGTATAAAATAATGTTTTACGTTTTAATACAAGTACATATGTTATATCATAATATGGTTCTAAACAACAAGTATAAGATTTTTGATTACGTTTAGCTGGTGCACGAATTATTTCCCATTCACCATTTTGATAATAATTATGAAAAAATACACCTTGTGATCGATAATCATCAAGAGAATTTGCCATTTCAATATTATTATAAACAATATGTGATAAATTAACTTGATGTCCATCATGTCTATAGAAGAATTTTATTGATGAGAGATAGAAAAGAAAAAAAGAAATTTTTCTTACGTCCATGAACCAAATTTAAGTGAACAAATTTGTTCATCTAAAAATTTTATAAGACATATTTTACATCTTTGTTCGAATTTAAAATATATACATCAATGAAAATATACAAATGTTATACTGATTAAAATTCAGATACAGGCAGTCAAATTACAGTAAACAAAAACTTTCTCTATTTGAAATTAAGTCAAAAAGTACATTAGCTAAAACATGGAGAATTCATTAAAATCAGTCAGATACTAAAACTGATTCGTGTAAATTATCAAGATAAAAATATAGAATAAAAGATTCCGTTTTGTAAGTGAATATCTGCATTTAGAAAATTCTTTTTTATTTTAGTCTTTTTTGGTTAGATGTCTTGTTAATTTTCATTAATCAATCTTCAATTATTCCCTCTTCACATGTAGCACGGGATATTATAAAAAACATTTTTCTTGCAAAGATTATGTCATAGAGAATTTGGAATAAAGTAATTTAAACCAAAACAAAAAATACTGATTTTACTGAGTAAGTGAGTGAATCTTAAATTATTATTTAGTGTAATATTTCATGATTAAACACGTGTCACCTTCGGGAGGCAAATGTCGGAATGAAATTACGAGAGAAATAATCAAAATGCTCGCATGACGCATTAACGAAGAATTACATCTTTTTTACTGAGATTTTCAATGAAAGCTTAGGCAAACCAAAAAGAAAACAAAATGAAGAATTTTTACTTGAAATTTAGCCTATAGATATAGTTCTGAAAGTTTCAACGAAAGCCAATATGTCTTTCTTGAAGTATTCAATTTCCAAAAGAACAACAGTTGTTCACTATGAGATAACACAATAATCCAATTTACTTGGAAATTAATTATTTCGAAAAGGATATTTTCTGTTTTCGTTGAAACCTTCCGAACTATATCTACAGACAAAAATTTCATGTCAAAAACTTTTCATTTTGATTTTTTCGGAATGCTTGACTTTCGGAAAAAAAGTTGTTCAATACAATAGTTGTAACTCTTTATCAATATGCCATGGATTCGAACTATTTTAGTCTTTTTCGAATCTCAATAGATTCTATTTAATCAGTCAAAAAGAAGCTGAACACCTCGAATACTTCCCTTGTTAATTCAAAAGCTAACTTTGCAAAGCAATGATCCGGTAAAACCTACTCAGTATGTTCTACCATTATGATATTAATAGAAAACCAATTTCCTTTTGATATTTTACAGTTGAAAAGATTGATTATGTCTTAATGAGCTCAATTTATTTCTAATTGGTGATGACATAGTTTCTTTTTCCAAATCAAATGCAATTTTATTATTCTCAAGTTTTTTAGAGTTTTCTAATCATTTACTTACCAAATGGAAAATATTGAACATTAATAGGACAACTACTTTTATATATCATTGGAGGATCCCATACAATAGCTCCTGATGGATAGACTGATACTTTAGCTAATCAAAAAAGAAAAGAAAAAGAAAAGAGTTATTCAAACTAATCGAAATTAAATAAAATCGTACTCTTTAATGTTACTTGATATGCTCCATCGGCATTATTATACTTAAGTAAAAAAAATTAGAAGTATTCTTTTTTTTTACGAAAACAAAGAACAATAACAACATACCAAAACAATATCAGGTAACCATAATTGTTCTGATGCAATATGCATAATACAAATATTATCATACACTTGTGGATCCCATTTTAATCGATAATCAAACCATTCCTTTCATAGATCAATATTAATTAAATTTTTTGTTTTTTTGACACAAATATTTCTTACATGTTTAAGCCATACATTTGTTGTTATTATTTGACGTTTTTCATCCTCAAATTAACAGAAATATTCTTTAATAAATAAATGACTGAATTTAATATTAAATCTTACAACGTCAATTAATTGTGTGACACTTAAACTAATTGCCACATTCAATACGTCAGTGGCATTACACACTGGACGAACCTATTGAAACAAAAAACGTTACTCTAACTATATTCTTTACATCAACATATATTTACTCGTTTATCATAATTACGCATTAAATCTTCATATAATCTTTTAGCTGTGTCACTGGCATTTATATACTCGTCTATAAATATAATTTCCAGGAACAGAAAAAAAAAATTAAAACTGTCAAAAACACTCTTTAAAACCTACATGAAATCAATAAAAACAAAGTCAACCATATGTAATTGTTCATCATGTTTTTTTTTCTCTTTGTTCAAGGCTTTATAATTAAGTACTTATTGAGTGTGTGCATAGCGGAAGCGACAAGTGAACATGACATTTTTTGTGAACGGATTGAAAAAGAAAAACTAATAAATCCTTCATGATGAATTAGGAGAAATATAATTGTTAAAATCTTGATCAGAGTTTCTTTTTTTTTTCTCTCTTCGCATATCTTTTATGTATAAAACAAGAAAGAAGAAGAAAAAAAAACGAGACAGATTGCCAGATCATAAAAAGGCGAGAAAAAAAAGAAAGAGATGAACTGAAATGTAAAAACACACGTTCTAACTACAAAGAAAAAAAAAAAGAAAAGAAAAAAAAACCGTTATTATTCGATATGTATATTTGTGGCTAAAATTTCTCCTGTCGATGTTGTTTGACAACCTTGTGATACATATCGACCTGTTTCATCGGCTTGTTCACGTAATGATATTGCATTTTTACGTTGTGCTACTTGTTGTAAATTACGTCGAAGAACTTCAGCATCAAGACCACCAGCCATTTTAGGTAATGGACATTGCTCTTCATCGAGAGTTGGTAAACCAAGACGACTATGTCGATTTGAACCGGTCGTATTCAAAAGTGACATTGGTGGAGATTGATTTCCATTTGTATTGCTATCAACTGATTCATCAAGTCCACCATTTATTTCATTAGACATTTGATAAGCATTTAAATCTTGATCAATAGGTGCATATCCGTTAGACGGTTGAGAAGTAAGATATTGAGCTGCTGAATAATGATCAAATGATGGAGGTGATATATAACCACCGTTACTTGATGCAATTGATGATAAATTATTTGTACTTGCCGAATGAACAATATGAGATATTGCAGAACTTGAATTACTTGATGATATAGGTGTCATTAATTGAGCAGGACGATTATTTTGACGTGGCCAAGTTTTTAATGATTTCCATTTTGTTGAACCTTTAATAAACGAAAAAAAATAATCAATAGAAAAACAAATAAATAACAATTTTATTATAGTGTAGTGTACTTCAAAGTAGCATCTGCATATTGAAAAATCAACAAGTACACTCATTCTATTCTTTATAATCTAATTAACAATATATAAATTAAGTCAATCAATGCAAGAACAATAATAAAGAAGTATTTGTTTTTTTTAGATGTATGTTTAGAGGTCGTTAAAAAAGAATATATTTGATTAGATATGAATCTGAGTTTGTATCTAATGAACGTTCTTTTTTTTGTATTAGATGAAAATAATATTCTTAAAAATCTTAATAATTTTAATTATTATATCATTTAAGTTAAAAAAATAAAGTTTGTTTGTTAAAAACATTTACCTTCTTTTGGACCAAGTATAGCACTAAAATTCATTGAATCGCCGGGATTAAGTACGCATGTAAGATCATTAAATGTTTCAAATTGACATGATTGTATATCAAAAAAAACTTGTTCATTATTATCCATATTTAATATTCCATATTTAGGAAAAATACGTATAACAACACCTGATGCTGTTATAGATGTTGGTTGTTGTTGTTGTTGTTGTTGTTGTTGTTGTTGTTGTAGAGATTGAGATAATTGTGTTGATGATGATGATGTTGGAAGATTATCATTTTTATTTAATAAAGCTCGTACAGCTTCAGTTTTAACACTAACTGTACCATCTGTATGTAATTGAAATATAGCATTATGTCGTTTAAAAAATGTTATAAGATCATCACGTGTAAAACCAATTAATTGTGCAAGATGATCAGGTGCACGAGCAATTAATCCCGGTACATTTTGAAGTAAAACTCGACCACTTTTATGTAATAAACGCATTACATAATGTACAGCTTTAACTTCATTTGATGTTAAGCGTTGATTTATATTACGAGTTATTGTTGGTGTTGCTGATGATGACGATGATGATAATAACATAGATGAATTTGTACTATTTGTTGGTGTACTTGGCATTGATCCATTATTTATAATTGTATTATTACTACCAATTATTGGTCGTGTACCAGATTTAAATGATGTTGAACGTGTTAACATTGAATTACTTCCACTACTATTCATCATATTATTATTAGATAATGTAATACGACGTTTTGGTGGGGGTGATGGAGGTGGAAATAGTACACAAGGTAAATCTGCTTTACCCTATAGAATAAAAGAAATGAATTATTATTATTTTTATTTTCTATTGTTTTTAGTTTCTAATTCTTACTTTAAGACCACAAAATTCATCACGAACAATAAAAATAGTTGGATAACGTAAAAGAAATACTTTAAATTCATTTTGTGGTCCAACATATTTTCGTACATCAGCAGATGCTTGTGATGCATGTCCAGCAACACTAACTATTGGTAACCATTCTTCTTCCCTTTTGGTTAATTGTTTTTTAAAAAAATTTATTGCTTCTTGTTCAATTTCACGCATTGTTTTAGCATCCCATACTGTTTCATTAGTATTATTATTATTGTTATTATTTGATAATGTTGTCATTGTTTCTGTTCCACTTGTAGTTTCATTCGCCTCGTTAGTCGAGGCGGATGATACCATTGATTTATTTTTATTATGATGAGATTTTGATGAATTTATTGTACGTACTGGTGTTGCACTATTAGCTGATACGGTATCATTGTTTACTGTGAATAATGATGGATATCGAAGCAAGAATTGTTGTAATCCTTGCTCATTACCACCGACAGCACGTAACATTTGAGGTGTAAATGTTCGGTCGGCGAAGCTATCGTAAAGCTTCACAATAGGCATAGCTTGATTGTTACGGATGAGCACATCGAGAATAAACAGAATGGCTTGATGAGCCACCTGATTAGATAAATAAATAAACATATGAAAATAGAAAAAAAAAAAAAGAAAAGAAACTTACCGACGGCTCATCGATTGCTATTCCATGTGTCTTCTCGGCAGATACCACAGGAGCTGATGCAGATGTTGTTGTCGTCGTTATTGTCGACGACACAGGTGAAGGTGCAGTTGTATTAGGTGTTGTTGGTAACGAGAACATTTCCTCCTCCTGCAACAACAAGGACGACATTTTTTCTTGTCAAATTACAAATAGACAAGAGAAGAAAAAAAAATGATTCACACGAGTAAAAACGCAAATCATATTTAACAATCTTAAATTGGTCACGGATGAATGAAAAATAGTACGGTTGTCTTAGTTAATGACACTTGCCTATATATATATATGTAAATATGGGCAAATGTACGCATATAAAAATATCAATTAGAGATCTCTCTCAGATTTCGACCTTCGTTTTCTTTTCTCTTTCAATCGTTCACTTCTATTGTATGACTGACGATGGGCAAAAGATAATGATAACAATAAGGATGATGACAAAGCTCGACAACATGTTGCCGTGTATATGAGATAACTGCTACTAGAAGATTAGTTGCACACAGAGATACACGTACTTCTTTCCTTTTTCTTCTCATTTTTTTTTTTGTTTCTCTCTCTCCCATTCTCTGTCAGCGTACTCGTTCTATATAACAACATCTTACTACTTCTGTACAGGACACACGTACAAGTATTTCCATCTATATAAGAAATACCACTTCGCGTTCACCAGAACGAGAAAATAGATGAGATGAATGTCATTTTTGCATAGACAAGAAGGCCATAACCCAAAGGGTCAATTTAATAATTGTACGATATTACCATTATTTATGATCGTGTGATTGAACTTCTTTTTTCTTCTCTTCATTTATAATAGTCATTTACCTGTCTCGGTATTATATTTATGATCAGATGAGAGATGTTGGGAGGATACTGTCGATAAGTTAATACTTATAAATGAAGGTAATATAAGATGATGAGAAAAGAAAAAAAATGAATAAGAAGCAGTAATTTGAAATAATAAATAAAGTTGTGATGACAACGAAGAAGATGCAGACAATATATGTGTAAGTGATCTGATCACGAAGCAAGATGGTGAGAGCTTCGCGTGTGGCGGTGTCGCCGATAATGATGTTGGGCTATAGGCTGCTTCTTTCTTCTTTTTGCCTCGGTTTTTTTTGTATTACCCTGAAAAGGAGAAAGGGAGAGAGAGAAAATAGGAAGAAAAAATTGACAATATGATTTGTTCGCTCTTTCTTTATATGTCTATCGTCGTTGCTATTCTCTTCCGGCACGGTCAATCCTTCATACTAAGAGTGCAAACGAACAAATACACATAAGAGACATCTGTTTATATTACGACCTACGTTTTATGAGAAAAAAAAGAGGAAAATATGCTACTTGTTTTACGTGAGAACTAAAGAAAAAAAAAATCTTTTTTTCATTCAAAATAGATAAGAACTGGTCTTTTTTTCAGGTCAATAGTAAAATAAGAAGAAAAAGAAACTATTGATCATATTTGAATGTTTTCATTAAAACAAAAAAAAACTAAATCAATCATCTCGTGTATAATAGAACTGTCCGATTATGTCAAAAAGTAGTATTAATTTCAATGAATAATGACTAAATCGGTTGAATGACCAATCGAATGAATCATTTTTATTTAAGTGCGTCATATCTTTAAAAATGATGAAATTTAAAAAAATATTTATAAGTACAGAACTTATACGCAATAATCTTCTCCTAATTAAATAAATTGGAACAAAAATTGAATTTGGATGGAGGTCGCTAAATTACGGCTACATAATCTATTCATATTATGATTAATGATGTATTTCTATTGAAGATACAATCTTTTGAGTATACAAAAAAAATCTATTAGTTAGAAATGTCATCTCTAGCATGTCATCAAACTGATGGTAATTCGATAAAACGAAGGGAAAAGATTTTGTCACAGAAACCAAAATATTATCCATACATTGATGTTAGATGATCTGTCGTTGTCTTCTATACCATGAATAATATTTTTCTGATGAATGTTATCATACTTTGTTTTCTTTCTATAGATGTCTTGGCCATGGCCTTGTTGTTATTTCTTATTTATATGCTTATTCTAGCATATATATTTTTTTTTCTTCTCTTGATTATTTGTGTCTCAAAAAGAAAAACAAATATCAGCGAAAAAAAAAAGGAATCAAGGCACTGTATTATTTTTATCGGGGCTATTGATGTGTTTATCTGTTTGATCGGGTTTTATGTATAAAAATCCTATTATCACTACAAATAATTAGAGAGAAATTTCTAAATTTTATTAGCCTAGATATTTGATACAAAAATATATCAAGAAGAAAAAGTAAAGATAGTATTAAGTACTTGAAAATCGTCATGTCAATAGATAAAGTGTTGAGTTGTATTTAAACCTTGTTTTTTAGCTATATTTCAGAAGTTGTGTTGACAAGTGTTTGATGTCCTTCTCAAAAATACAGCTATGATTATCAGTTACTATTATCATATAAAAGACAGATTATGCCAAAACTTGATAAATTATAAATGAAAAGGTCATATGAATATTACTATACATTTACATAAGTTTATTGAAGTTTAAAATTATACTTTAACAAATAGATTCTATGAGCTTGTATTGAAGTACATGAACAATAGAAATTAGCATATTTCAAAATATCAGTATGCTTGCTTCTATAGATCATTTCGTTTAGATATTAGTTCAAATCCAATATCAATCATAATATACAATAAAAACAAACTAAAAAAAAAATGTGAAGTTTTATTTCACAATGACAACATGATCAACTATTAGTTTTTTTTTGTTTTCTTTATGACGGTTAAATGAATAAATTTGTTGAAATTTTATTTTTGTAAACTAATTGTGCTGTACTGGAGGTAATATCTGGCGTGAACGATATTAAAAAATAGGCGTTCCCAAAAATAGTTTTGTTTTATGTATATACAGGATGGTCCAAAAGTCACGCACCCGACAAAAAATTGAATATCTCCATTAGGGCTTGAGCAAACGGGGTGATTTTTTTACCAGTGATAGAGGCATGTACAAACTTTATATCCATACAGACATGTCTAGGAAGACCCTTTNATTAAACTTACGTATATAGTGTTGTGTTGGTTGTTTTATATGTATTCAAAAACCTGTGCAATTGGAAAACTCAGATTCTTGCCAACAGACTCGTAATCAGTAAAGACTTTTATAGAAATAGCAAATAAAAATATCTGATTTACAGATCTTAAATCATGTCAAAATAATAAACGTGAAAATATATTGCATAAAAACTGACCCGGATCAATGTGAAAAATTTTTAGTCCCGGTCCCGTAAAAAAGTCAAATTTTGGTCTCGATCCCGGCGGGACCGGAACCGGGACCAGTTTGCAGTTCCCTACATGAAGTTGATTCTTTCTATGTATGAAATCGAAGTATAACATGAAAATTGAAGAACCATGATAAGATCAAAGTATCATTTCATTGCAATCTGTCAGCTTGATAATCGCTATAGAAATATATAGCAAATTTTAAAAAAGACGATAAAATTGTCTAAACACATTTCGACTAATAATCCTATATGAAATATTCATTGGGAAACAAAGACAGAGCAGAGTGCACATACAATATTGACTATGATATACACATATAATTCTATATGCGATGTATATCTTTTGTCTTCTTTTCGTATTTTATTTTATATGAATTTTTTAAGTTTCTTTGTGAGAATATGTTAATCGTCTTTTTTCTGAAAAATATTTACAAAAGGAACACATGACACAGTAGTTGATTTCTACTTTTCTTAAAGTTTGTCTCATGGTTTGAATAATTTTTTATTTTTTTTTCTAGTGTCTTACTTAAATTTTACTAATTATCATTAAACAGAATAAGACTTTCATTACGTTAACTTCATGATAAGTCTAAATAGTTTAACAAGTGAAAATCATCAATGTGATTCAAAACTTGAACATTATATCAGTCAAGATGATCGCTGTGATACAGAATTTTTTATTTTTATGTCATTCATTTATCATTTCAAAATCTACCTGATTAAAGGCATTAAGTAATCCTATTACGAGTTTTGCTAGCGGTGATCGGCAATTACAATAATAATCTAGTTTATCACTTAATAAAAAGAAAATCAATTATCATGATTAATTCCTCTTTTGTTTCAGTGAACTATTTTCATATTAGTTCGGTGTAGAAACTTGATGTAAATGTGTGCATCTTGTTCATTTACACCTACATCCACATCCAATTTAGTGAGTTGATAATGAATATGTTTTAAAGAATTCTTATGACGAAAGATCAACATATCATTAAGTATATAAAAAACTTTACATATAAGAGATAAGCTTCTTCTATCTAAATGACAGGAAAAAATGGCGCCATCTGTTTGTCATTCATGAATGGTTTCGTTTGACAAGCGAATCAATCAGTATCAATTAAAGAAAGAATCGAGACAAAGACACACTTGTCTATCGTAATACTTATTCCACTATTTTACAAGGATATATTTTTTTACATTGATCTTGGATACAATAATTAGTGATCAAAACATGAATATCGATTTGTTCGCTAGTCTTTTCCATAAATCTTAAATAAAAAATAGAAAGAATAATGATAAATATAAGCAAAAATTAAATGATTATTTTAATGATGTCTTTTAGATGCTTGTAACAATTTCTTAATATGTCTGAACAAGATAAAATAATTTTAGCTTTAATTGAACATCTTAGAAAGAAACTTTTACTTATAACATGCTCAAATGATACTGAAAATTCAGTAAGTTTTACACTAGTCATTATTTTCTTAATCAATCATTTTATAAATGAATTTAATTAGAATGATGATGAATGTACAAAAAAATTAATTGAAAATCGTTATAAATTAATTCATACTATGTGTCAAACTACAAAAATAATGGATTATCTTGAATCAACAGGTGTTATACCACGTTCTGTTTGTTCACGTATTCTTCATGTGAGTAAAATATATAACAAAATATTCTATGTTTAATTTTGAAAACAATAGGAATATCGTGTACCTGAAGATCGAAATAGAGCATTACTTGACTTCTTACATAGTCGTGCAAAAAATGCTTTTCGTCCTTTAATCGAAGCACTTTATTTATCCGGTAAGTTTATTAACGAAAGTTTTTTTTAATAAAATTGGTTGTGTATAATAAAGAAAAAGTCTTCGCGATTTCATCACTTTGGATATAAATGATGATTAATAATAGCTACACTATAGACTTGATATTAGAAGTATAGAATCTATTTACATGTAGCTACGTGTAATAGGAGATATTTCAGAAAAGAATGTTTTGTTTTTACAGAACAGTCTAGTACTCGTTCGAATCAAAAATTACTTCCATTATAAATAATTAGTAAAGATTAGTTTTCTTCATGTGTGTTCAATAAGTCTGTATATCTTTCAATGTACAGACTGGATCATAAATAATTACACGATAAAATATTCGAATATTTTAACTTCGCTCTAATCAAATGAGACGGTTGGTTATTTTCTTGTTGATAATAGAGACTAATTTAAAATTTATTGTTCCATACAGATAACATAAGCTAAGATTATTTTGAAGTATTATTATTCGTTTCACTGTAGAAATGTCAGTCGCTGTCAAGTAAGAAAAATATGTATGTTAAGACTTCGATAATTTTCAGTTCCCACATCAGGAAGAAACGTGTCTGGCTATGGATTTGCTTTTTAGCCGTAATTTAGTTCTTGTTTTTAGACGTTAATGAACTATGTTTGTAGCATGAATTTATAGTTTATTGTTGAAGAGATCGAATGTTCTTAGTGAATTTTCGGACTAAGTCTTTCAGGGCTTTTGTCCATAAATTCTGAAATCTTTTATATGAGCAAACTTTAAGATCAAAACTCAAAAATATCATCTTGTTGTAAATGTGAAGTCCTACAGTAAAGATTCACGAACTCTTTATGATAAAACATGGTTTACTAAGATCTACAAAATGTATTGAGTCTTGGTTGAAAAGCGAGCACCCATGTAGAAACCTCCCTTTTGAAACAATAATAAAAGAAAATGGACATGAACTTGGTGCGTGATATTATATTGATCGAACTAGAGCAAAATTCTTGAACTATTAGACAGTTTAAACATTCAAATACGTACAAAACATCAATGTGATATTATTAATAAATTTTGTGTCGATTTAGTTTTACTGTACTTTCTTTTTCTTGACTATGATTAACATATCTTATCTATATGAAACGAAAAAACAAGAGTTAAAATAGACCTCTGTTATCAACACACAAAAAAAGCATCAACTCATTTGATTGAATCGAATTGAAGATATTTATGGTCGATTCTGTATAATTTAAAATGATTATTCGACTTTTATTTCGTTTCAGAGACAGATTCTATACTTTTTAAATTCGGACAATGATTTATATACCATCACGACTAGAGATGTACTAGCCTCAATCTTGGTCCTGGCTGAAGGAAAACCATTGAATAATTTTTTTCTGATCTAACCTAAAAGATATCTTAAATACTCTTTTATTGATTGAGTCATTTAGTACACTGCTTGAGCCTGTCATAAAGAACAAATTGAACACAGACGTTGTCCTTCTGTTCACTCACATTCCGCCCACAGATCGTAACAAACATCGATAAACTACATGAACTACTTCCATATTGTATTTGTGGATGGTTAAGTAAAAGAACAATGAAATGTGTCCCAACATAAATAGAATAAAATAATCTTCCTGCAATTAGCGGCAGCAGACTGCATTTGTATTTCACATTTTAATCCTGCAGAGATTGTACTAATTGTTTTGAAAGTTAAAGAATTTATGATATAAAATATTCTAGGTAATGAACATCTTGTTCAATTACTCGATGAAAATTTTCTCTTAAGTAATGTTCGTCAACAACTCGACGCTGAATATCGTTTTCCAACAGCTGTTGGACGACAAATAACAGTACCAACGAGTATTGAAGATGAAAAATTACGTAATTTAAATACTAATATAGAATCCTTGGAAAATCAAATTTCAATATGTAATTTAAATGATAATGAATTAACAAAATTTGATGATGAAGTACAAATGGGTTTTGAAGTTCAATTATTAACACTTGATTTACTTGAACAATATCCTCAATTAGATCCAATAAAACGTTCCATTAAAGTTTGTCATTATCATGTTCTTTTGTTTTTCTCAAACAAAAACAAAAAAAACGATTTTTTTTTAGTGTTATCGAATGTTAAGTCGACCTCGTGGTCAATGTTTATTAATAAATAATGTTGATGCTTTTAAAACAATGGAAATTCGTCAAGGATCAGATATAGATGCAAGTAAATTAAAAAGTTTATTTGAACAAATGGGTTTTATTGTTGTTGTTCGACGTAATCTTAATTATCTAGTATGTTGAAATCAATTTTCTTTCTTTTTTATTTACAATATATTTTCTGATTTAGGAAATGGTTAATGTAATAAAAAATTTTGCCGATTTAATTGAAGAAAATAATGATTCATGTGATTGTTCAATAGTTATTATATTAAGTCATGGTGGAAATGGAAAAATTTATTCTGTAGATGAACTTGCATTAGATGTAAGTTAATAGATATGAATTTATAGAATAAAACAATATGTTTTCTATTTTAAAAGATTGATGAACAAATAATATCTGTATTTGATGATCATTTAATAGGAAAACCAAAATTATTTATTTTACAAGCATGTCGAGGATGTAAATTGTTTAAAATTTTAATTTTTTATTAAATAAAATTCTATTTATTTAGTCCAATGTAATTATCGTTCGGAATCGATATCATCCAGTCGTTTATGGTCAGCAGATAGTATTACGAATGAAAACAATCAAACAAATATCGATAGTGGTACTCATATAATAACAAAAGTTCCTAAACGTAGCGATATGGTTATATGGTATTCAACTTTAAAAGGTGATTTCTTTGTTTTTTTTTTATATTAACAATAAAACTAAAAAAGTAAATTATTTTCAGATTATGTGTCATGGCGACTACCGGATGAAGGTAGTATATTTATTCAATCATTAATTACAGTTTTTGCTCGAACAGCATGGTATTATGATTTAGTTACAATGGTTCAATGTGTAAGAAGATTAATTAATTTTAATTTTAATTATTATTTTGAATAATAGATTAATCGAACAATGAAAGAAAAATTTGCAGCTCATGAATCAACACCATTTCAAACACCATGTTTTGAATATCATCTTGATTATGTAAGTTTATACAAAAAAAAAGAACCAATTTGATTTTGTTTAAGATTTTTATTCATAGCCATTATACTTCAATCCAGGTTGTTTCGATCAAAATTAAAGATTATTTTGTCTAGTCAAATATGTTTATCATTTTTTTTTTGTCAAATCTTGTCTTTCTTAATAAAATTGACTTGATATATATTCTTATAAGATAAACTAATATAAGCTTTGAATTATAAACAGAGTAGATATGAACATGTTAATCTGAAATGATTGCTTTTTCTTTTTTGTTGTTTGAGAATAATTAAAAAGTATATTCTCTCTCTTATATCATATTTCTCTTATTAATTCACAACATAAAATCAAATGCTTTAAATAAGAACTAAATAGTTTTATTATGAAGAAATGAATTGCAAGAAATATTCTTTCCATGCAATCAATTAATACACAAGGCTACATTTATAAAAGAAACTTCAATCGAAAAAGATTCTTTTTTTTTTTTTTTTCTTTATAGATTTTATCGACGTACAATTAAGTGTGAGAAGTGATTTACTTTTGAAAAGTTTTTATTCTCATGATAAATATTTGTAATTAAAGATCATGTCTCAAGAGAAATTACCTTTACACATTTTCTTTTTCTCTTTTTTCATTTTATGTGACCTCAAAGCAACTCTCAACACCTTCAACATAACTTTTCTTTGATACATATATGATCAAGGTAACAAAAAAAAAGCGCGATACACTCTCACCAGATAATGATCATACGAGGACATACTGCTCAATGTACGAGAGAAGAAGACACCATTAGTCATACGATTTTATTCGTAATTCAAGGTTATTGTTAACATGTTATGTACCTAGTTGACTATTTTCCAGTTGTTTTTTTTTTATCATATACTCAATTCTTTAATCTGTATAGATTGAAGTATTTGTCAATAATTCAACGTATTCATAAGTATACACCTATATTTAAGAAACAACTGAAAAAGAAATGTAAAGGATTAGAGATGTATAAACAACAATGAGTATCGATGAAAAGATAATTTATACATGTGAAGCCTTTTGTAATAGAGACAAAAAAATAGAACGAGGAGGAATATCGTTCACTCTTGATGACGAAAAAAAAGTGATTTAGTATACCAGAAGCTTTACTTCTTCTATGAGATGTTGTTAAGTAAAAGACAAACGAAACTTTTTAAACGAATACAGAAAGAAAGTGCGAAGCATTAAGTTACGTGAACGAAACAGAAACAGAGAGAGAGACTAAGAGATATATATATATATATATCTAGATGTTCGATCTTTTACGATTGTCCTCTGGTTGTGACGTCGTTGCAGACAGCGACAACGATAATGATAGTAGGCGACTGTATAATACTAAAGATAGACGAAGGAGAAAAAGATACATTCTTCACATGCATAAAGACAAAATGTCGAATGAGAACGAAAAAAAAAAAAGAAAAGAAAAAGAACAAGAGAACAAAGAAGTATGTATACCTATAGTTGAACCATTTTTAAGTGTCATTAGTATATGATCCTCACATCCTTACAACGTCGAACAATTTTGTCGATAGTGTGATAGTTAACTCTAATGAAAAAATGAAAAATATAAAAGATAATTATCGATAATAATAATCTTTTTATTTTCAGATATCATTAAGATTAGTTTATTTATCATCTCAATGGCTTGTATCAATAATTCATTTTCTTCACATATTTTCCTAAGTGATCTTCCATCATATGGTCTTATTGGTCTTATATCAATAGGTCTTATTCTATATTTGTCTTATATTATAACTTACATACGAAATGATCATTTATCAACAACAATTTATATAAATATTTCTCAATTAGCTCTATTTTTTGTCTTACTTTGTTCAATAACATTTCTTATTCGACCATCAGCATCAATAAATATTGTTTGTTCAATTCAAACATTTTCATTACAAATTTTTCCTTTTTTTCTTTTACTTGGTTTTAATATTCATTTTATATATCAATGGTTGTTACAAACAACAAAAAATTCTAATAGAAAAACTTTTCTTATATCAATAAGTTCATTTTTAATATTTTTTCTTGCAATATTAATTCAAACAAGTATACTTCTTATATGGTTTTATAATCATTATAATTATCAACAAATTTATAATTCATGTACAGATGAATGTTATCGACCTTTATTTCTTTGTTCATTATCATTTAATTTTTTTCTATTATTTCTTTTTTCATTTCAATCAAGTATACGATATCATTTATATAATTATCAAAATGATCTTATTTATTTATTAACAAGTCTTCTTGCAGTATGTGTTACTATTATATGGATTTGTTTGTATTTATTTATTCCATTGAGATCATCATTAACATTTTACATGAATAATAATTATATTCTTGCTTATGGAAATTTATTTCTTGTTTATACATTTCTTGGACCTTTACTATTTGAACAACTTTTTTATCATCAAAATATTCGTAGTAAAGATCATTTGCCTAAGGTATGAATATTTCGACATCATATGGATTAAAATTAAAATAAAGTTCTTTTCTTCTTCTTCTTTTTTTTTTTGTTAGTCTCGTAAAATGACATTTAAATCATTATCCTTGACAAAAGAGCAGCAACGTGCATTCATGGCCGCGTATATTAAACGTAATTTAACAGCATCATGTGAAAACCTTACAGCGATAACGATTTCATCACCTATATCAACGAATAGACAAATCAATCAAGAATCAAGTCAAACATGTCATTCAACATTAAGTGTTGGTAGTTTATGTCCAACATTAGCTAGTACAGTTTCACATGATACACCACCTAAAATATTACCAATTACGACAACAGATACATCAAGTTATGGGACAATGACAAGTGAATATGTACCTTTACCAACTTCATTCATTAATCATAAGATGAAATAACGACATTAATATTAGAGACAACAATGACCGGTGGTGAATAAATATATATTTGACTTGATTGTTAGAAACATTTCAGTTCTATTTCGTCGACTAATTAGAGTCAACTAAGAAAAATTTTCCATTTTTCATTAACAAAATATTTTTTCTACTTTGTCAACAAGTTATAATGCAATTCATAAGGATTATGAATAATCACTATTTGTTTATTAAAGTATATTTCAAAATATAACAAATAGTATTTGACAAAGAAAAAGATTAAATATAATAACAGAAAAGAGAAACATAATGATATGAGTATTATACGAACAATTGAGCTTTTATAATAGTTATTTAATGTTTCAACAAACAACTGACATAGTGATTCATCAAAAGGCGACCATAATCTTCGTAATGATGGTTGACTATAGTAAAAAACATATGTAGGCTTGTAGAGAAAAACTTTCACTATCTAATGATATATGTATTATCAAACTCTACAGCATTCGGTTGGAATGTTGATAGGTGATCCTAGCGATTGACTAGATAGAAGATATATTTCATTACAAGCTTACATATTATTTCGTTCTGTAGTCAAAATTTTATGTTCGTCTTTATAATTGTTCTGTTTTGAAGAAGACAAGAAACCTTTGTCTCATTCTTTGAGAACAAAATACAAATTCGGATCGATTACGTCTACTGATTAATTGCACTATAACTTGTCGACATAAACTTTAATTATTAAATTGTGGCTTATTAAAAGAGAAGGAAACATTTTTTTTTGTCGACAAAACGGTATGATACTGTTAGAAATTGATATATTTTCACAAAATATTTGTAAAAAGTTTAATAGTTTCAATAATAAAAAAAAAAAAGAGAAAATCTAAATGCTTTTCGAAAAGGAGCAATGAGATAATAATAGAAGACAAAAGTGAATGAACTGATGTACAAAACGTATCCAATGAAAATAAATTTTCAAAATAAATTATACAATTTGCTTTCATGGTAACGTCTACACTCTTCTGTGTTCACACAGAAGAAGTGAACGATTACTTATACTAACTTCAGAAAGTATATTGAATTTTGAAAAGGTCATCAGCAATAAACGAAACGCTGAAATCGGAAGTATACATTCGGATTAATTAAAAACAATCACAGTAATTTTACTGGGTAATAACAAATAATTTCTCATCATTGGGAAAGTGTACAACCCCTTCTAAAAGAGAAATAATGTTAATTGTTTAACCATGAATTTTAAAAAATGATGTTATTATATTCAGTTTCGATTGATACGAGTTCAATCGACTTTTCAACTAAACTACACTTAAATGTTATAGAGAATCAAAACTGATTCAATGTTCTTTATTACTCTATACATTTGAAATTGTTTAGCGATTTAGTTTGACGAGATTGAGTAATTCGACTAAACATTCAAAAAAAAAAATTAAGAGAGAAAATATTTTTTCACTAGAATTTAAGTACCAGGTATTGGGAAAACAATTGTTGAATTTTTTTCCGCTGAAATTTGTGTTAAGGTTTGTAAATATCGTAATTGTAAAGCAATTGGTGATGTAGCAATAACATCAGCAGCTTCTTTTAATTGTCTTGATGCTCGCTGTTCACCTTCAGCAGCAATCACTTTTGCACGAGCTTCACGAGTTGCTTCAGCTTCAGCAGCCATTGATCGTTGCATTGATTGAGGTAAACGAACATCCGTACTAAAGAAGAAAAAACAAACGAAGAACAATATCAAATGTTTTCTATCGATTATTAAAATAGTGTTTATACATTTCAACACGTTCAACTTTCACACCCCATGGACCAGTTCCTTCATCAAGTTGAACTTGCATATTTTGTGCAATAGCTTCACGATCGCTAAGAATTTCTTGAAGAGTTTTTGTACCAAGTATATTTCGTAATGTTGTTTGTGCAAGTAATTGTGTTGCAGAATGAACATTATTTACTTTCGTTACACTGGCAGTCTATAAAGAATTCTTCTTTATAATCATTTTGGTCACACTTATCCATTGAGCTGGTCCAGTACAAAATTTTCGGACTCCATTCAGAACAAACTTGACTTACCGGATCAGTAACACGACTGTAAACAACAGCATCAACAGAGATTGTTACTGAATCACGTGTTAAAATCTAATAATATAAAAATATTAAATTGTTTAAAAAGAAACATAGAAGACATGATATTCTACTTCTTGTGGTGGTACATTAAATGTAGTTGTTCTCAAATCAACTTTAACAATACTATCCAGACATGGTAAAATAAAGAATAGGCCAGGTCCTTTCGCACCACCTAAACGGAAAAACTTGTCAAACAATGGCGAAGAATTTTAATCAATTGAACATTTTTGCAAAATCATGTTTAATTACAACTAGAGGTGTAAGCCGAAAGGTCAAACGGTGGCGACTTTGACAACCAAAAAAAAAACGTTTTTGCTCCGAAAAATGTCAGTGGCGACGACGCAACGGCTGAACTAACTTTTTTACAGCGCCGGCGGCTAAAAAATTCGTAAAACTATCTCCGATTCCGTGGTGGCGGTGCAGCTGAATGGCTTACACCTCTAATTACAACAAATGCCAAAGTTAATCGAGTCTCACATTATAATACTGGACAGAAATGTTTGAACGCTCTTTGAAGCTGACGAGAGGATCTTTCCAAATATCAAATCACTTTGCGATCGAGACGATATTAACTTGATGAATGTTAAAAAATAATAGAAAATTCTAGAATGGCTTGGATTTTCGAGCCTTGTTCTTGAAATATCAAAATTTGAAGATCGATCGTCCTCAAAAACAAACCATTCGAGATTTTTCTATTACCTACTAGTATTTATCAAATGAATATCATGTCGATCGAATATCGATTTAAGACCCGAATAGGTTCTCTCGTTATTTTCGAAAAAATAGTCTAAAACATTTTCTCCAGTATTCCGATTTCGATCGTCAAAAATGAATTCAATCATACCTTGTAGAATTCGTCCAAGACGAAAAATAACAGCTCGTTCATATTCTTGAACAACCTTTTAAATAAAAACTAAATTGAATTTTTTCAATTATCAATATCGAAATATTACTTTTATACAATAAAAAGTCGTTATTGGAAATGTAATTACAACCAGAATATAGGAAAAAATAATCAATATCCAAGCACATATATCAAAACTATCATTATTTTCTTTCCCTTACGTCAACAATCATAAATAAAGAAAATATGATTAATATATCTACCTAACATTGTTACTCTTTCATCTAATAATTCAAATAGATTTTCATTTCCTCTAAAACAAAGAACAATTCAACAAACTTTCATTATTAAACGAATCTCTTGTTGCCATGTTGTACTATCAAAATTTAAATGCAAATACTTCTATTTCGTCCAAGTAGATACAATGTTAAAAAAAACTTTCTTCTAATCATCCACAACGAACTACGCGCGCTTATATTTTTTCATTGATAACAATCACATATGAAAAGATGTGAACTAAATAATTGATTGCTTTATTTATTAAATAAAAAGATCACGACAACAACATCAAACCAAAAAACAAAAGCTAATTAGAAGAACATGCTAAGAATAAATATTATCAATATTTTATATTTGTTAATTCATAATTTATTTAAGTAGAACGTCGAACCAAATTGAGTAATTCAACTGAATAAAATTAAATAATTAATATAAAAAACTAAAATTAATTAAACATACTTGGAACTGGAAAAACAATTGTTGAATTTTTTTCTGCAGCAATTTGTGTTAAAGTTTGTAAATATCGTAATTGTAAAGCAATTGGTGATGCAGCAATAACATCAGCAGCTTCTTTTAATTGTCTTGATGCTCGTTGTTCACCTTCAGCAGCAATCACTTTTGCACGAGCTTCACGAGTTGCTTCAGCTTCAGCAGCCATTGATCGTTGCATTGATTGAGGTAAACGAACATCCGTACTAAAGAAACAAAAACGAGCAACATCAAATGTTTCCTATCGATTATTAAAATAGTGTTTATACACTTCAACACGTTCAACTTTCACACCCCATGGACCAGTTCCTTCATCAAGTTGAACTTGCATATTTTGTGCAATAGCTTCACGATCACTAAGAATTTCTTGAAGAGTTTTTGTACCAAGTATATTTCGTAATGTTGTTTGTGCAAGTAATTGTGTTGCATATTGAGTATTTTTTACATTTGTTACACTAATTACCTATATATGAAATTGAATTATTATATTTTATTTTTCTTAAATATTTACCGGATTAAAAACTCGACTATAAACAACTGCATCAACTGATACAGTTACTGAATCACGTGTTAAAACCTAAGAAAATAATTTGGAAAGTTATTAATAAATACCTCAAAAAAAGAAATTTGTACTTCTTGTGGTGGAACATTAAATGTTGCCGTTCGTAAATCAATTTTAACTATTGTATCTACACAAGGTAAAATACAAAATAGACCAGGTCCTTTACCACCACCTAAAGGAAAAAAAATAATAAAATTTTTTTAGTTCAATGGAATAGATCTTCAAACATAAAACACGAAAATAATCATAGTCATTGAATATCATACCTGGTAAAATACGACCAAGACGAAGTATAACAGCTCGTTCATATTCTTGAACAATCTATTAGAAAACATGAATTAGATATATTTTAATAATCAAAACGAACCCTTATACAAAAACATAATGACACCGGCAATGTAATAATCATCAGAAGATATGAAAGACCAATCAATATCCAACTGCATAAATCAATACTATACTCTGCTGCTAAACATACATAAAAGTCAATGTACATATTGGACGATGGAAAAAAGTTTAATAACAACATTTTCTTTCTATAATATTAAGCAATTAGTTCAAATTTAGTATGTGATTTCAATAGGCCAATAGAATTTTCTATTCAATGCATTATATATAAGATGATCTATGATGGCAGTTTGTCAAAAAAAAACGAACATGGTGGTTTTCAGAAGACTTTGTCAAAGCTATTTTTTTTTTGAAAAGAGCAGAATGAGAGGTTACCACATTTTCTACAGCCTTTCCATAAAACATTAAAAGTTTTACAAAAACGGTTAAAAAATCGACTACAAATGCCTTTTTTTTTCGATTTGCGTGATATTTTTAACTTTTTAAGAGAAGTTCGTAAAAAACTCGACGGACCTATCATTTTTCTACTCTTTCAAATATCATGCTTACAAAAATAGCTTTTAGGATCTGAAAAGTACTTTGTTCAGTTTTTTTTTACAAACGTTGATATCGTAGTTCATCTACCATAGAATTCATTGAGTACAAGTAGCTACACTGCGGGAATTGTTACTATTTATTATGATATTGAGCTAATATTTTTGTACAATAAACCTATAGAACTGCCTTTAACGTTAGGAAAAAACAAACAATAGTAACTTATCAAATAACCGATAAAAAGAATTTTGTGTATATAATTTCGCTGAATATGTTTTTTACAAAAGAATAAATCATCACTTCAGTATATATGAACCAATGGAAAATTAGTTGCTGCTTGCGATCAGCATTTATCATCGCACGCATATACCCAAAATATCAGCTTAATCTAATAAAGAATAGTAGCACTTCATGAGAGATAGTTACTGTTATCCAGTACTATTTATATAAATCTAAACATATCAACATACATGTCATATCTGCCGTTGTAGTCGTTGGATGCAGACGAGCTAATAAAACAAACTTATTAATATAAAGAAAAAAATCTTAATAAAATACCATCTTACTTTCGATAATAGCTTCATCTTTTGGTGCTGATCTTGTAGCCATTTTATTTTTGTTGTTCTGTATTAATAATCTTTTATTTAAAAAACAGAAAACGAATACAAATCGATTAATTCAATGTTTTTTTTTTCCTGCTATTACAAATAACATAAGAAAAACGAATTACTCTATACTATGGACAATACGCTTATGTTATCAGTACTCAACAATACATCGAAAAAAAAGTATAAATACTATAGACATTACTTTCTTCAAGTGACAAAACATAGAGAAAATTAACATAAAAATATGAATATTCTATACGTTCATCTTTTTTTCTTTTGAAGAATAACAATTAAATGAACATGTTTTCTTTCATTCGGAAAGAAAAAAGATAGATGACCTAGACTCGTCGCGGAAATGAATGCTAGACTATTTTGATAGAAAGAAAAATAATCTATTGCACATTGACCCTGACCTCGATATAGCGAATAGATGATTGACTCAATACATTTGTATCGGACAAGCAACTTAATAAACGATGAAGAGAAGGGGGAAAAAATGACTATCCTATTCCATATTTAGCATAACAGATGCGTATTCTTTTTGTTTTTTGGAAGAGGTCATTCATAAAGTTTTGACCATTTTTGGATACAAAATAAAAAGGCAGAAAAAGATTGATTATACGAATGCAGTACAATGATTTTGTTAATAGTAAATCAAGAGAAAAATCTACAGTATGCAGCAAAAAATTTCATAATTTTCTGATATTGATCTTTGTGAAATTAATCAAATCTGAAATACTTAGAATAATTATCTTCGATTACAATTAAAACATTGCCAGAGGCTTTAACAAGCTGATAATTGAAATAATAAACATTTATTAACAATAGAAAGTTATATTTCCTATTGTCTATATATTTGAATTTCTCACATAATGGTAATAAAAAAAGAAATATATGTCATTGATATTATATGTTTTTCTATAAAAAAAAAATTTTTAATTACTTATATCGTTTCCTTTTTAATTATGGTGATTTTTTGTACAAGATTGATTATGATATTATCAATCATTTTCTCTGAAGTATCGATCAATGCGTTTTTTTAACTATTAATGTGATTGAATTGAAAACATATTTGAAAATCTGATTTGTTGTTTAAGTTTATTTTTACAAATTACTATTATCAAATCAAGCATAATTCAATAGAATATCAATGAATTTTTAATGTTATTTTCATTTTTTAATAATCCTATGAAAATCATATTGAAACATATTATCGAATCATCAAAAAATATTATCTAAATTAAGACTGACCTTTTTTGAATGCAAAACTTGCACCAATGATATATAAATACTTGAGATTATATATGTATGACTTTTAAATACGAAAAAAAAAACGAGTATCTTTTATTTATGAAAGCTGTCTCTTGATCAATAAACACATTAGTACGAAATGGGTCATAGAGAGCTGGTGTTGATGAGTAATAGACGGTGCATCTATATCAGATAATGAACTTATCTCAGAAACTAATTGGTCGATAAGACCAAGTTAAATATAAATAATCATCACCTTGTCTGATCAAAGTAATTCTATTAAGGGTACCTCGTCTCTTTTGGTTCTCTGCAACAGTACAAACACAGTCGAGCTCAAATTTTTATCACAGCTAGATTATCGAACATAAATTTCATCATTGTCGATAATCTAGTTGCGGTAGAAACTTGAGTCCAACTATTTGTACGTTTATAAGTACCCATATTAGTATATCATCTATGAGGTGTTAGATGAATAAACGCATATTTCTATGAAATGATTTTATATGTATATATATCGTTTCAGATCACCTGCATACAAATCATTTCCATAAATAGTATAAGATAATTAGATTATATCTCATATGTTCAATCTATAAGATATTTAGAGTATACAATAAATTCATTCTTTTGAAATGAATCATCGAAAGAAAAAATTTTCCTTAAATCGATTTAGATAATTATCATATATATATTTTTTTTTAAAATATTTTTTGACTTTTCTATCATTGAATGACGATCAAAGAATGTGCAAATCAAATCCATCTTCTTTCTTTTGATTTTCTATATTTCACATAAATGATTGACAACAATCTGATCTATATGTATACATTCTCTCAAGATAAAAATGATCATAGTGATGTCACCGAAATAATTACAAGGCTCGTAAATGTGCGCATGTGTGAAATTGTTGTTTGCTCAACACATGTGCACGGGAAAAAGAGACAAACATTTAAAATATCATCAATTCTTATTCTAGCTCATTAACGAAAGAAAAAGAAAAAAAAAAAACGAGACATATTTATACTCTTCGCCTGATAAGTCATAGACACATCCGGTTACTGTCAACATGTCCTCACGAATTCCTTTACAACTAATATCAAGTAATACATCTGATTATTATTCTTCTTCTTCAATAATGTATGAACCATACTGTAATTGTTGTCATTATGAAAATCAATCAATATATATGGAAAATTCTTATCAAGCATCTTATATGGATTTTAATTTGGATCCAATATCAACATTATCATCATCATCATCAATATCAAATGATTCAAAAAAGAAATCAACAACACGTCGATCAAAACATATTCCACATCATCTTCGACCACAATATATTGTTGAAAGACGTAATAGACGTGAACGATTACGTGTACAAGATGTTAATCAAGCATTTTATATGCTTCAACAACTTTTACCTGTTGATTCAAATTCAACAACAATAACAACACATAATAATGATAATAATAAAGAACAATTAAATATGACACAAAATTCATCTCGTATATCAAAAGTTCGAACACTTCGTAAAGCTGTTGATTATATTGAAGCACTTCAAAAAATGTTAAATGACAATAATTAAATTTTTCATTTTCTCTTTTCTTTTATATTTTCTTTTACTTAATAATTAGATTTACATTGTATCTGTAATTGTATATTGAATAAATTAAAATGAATATAAATCAATGATATGTTTTCGAATAGTACAAATTTGAATTTCAAAATGTGCTTAGCTTACAAGGGGGGAAATCCTTCAACTGATAAAATGTTTTCAAGTCAATACTATGTGCATTATGTAGACACAGATGAGCAAAGTATACTCTAAAACAAAGATTTCGTGCCATTAGTTTATTGCTATGAAGACACTGTACTTTTCTTTGCATAGAAACAGATCTTAACAAGAATAATTTTCTGTGAAAGTTTTCAGTGTGTATTCATAACTCATTTGGGCCTACATAATGTACATAGTCTCGACTAAAAAAGCGATTGGTTAGTTGTAGAACTTCGCTCGTTAATATGATTTAGTGTATTATTGAAGAAATTAGAATTAAAACTCTGATTTATAATCCTTTTCGCTTTGAATTGATTCAAAGTCATATAAAACAATTTGTTATAGATTTAACTCTTTGACATTGATCATTGAATATTCGGCAAAAAGAAAATACAAATTTTCGAAGTTACGACCATTGATTCAGGCAATTGATGTAGTAACTTCAGATACCAATCAATAGAGACGTTTTTGTTATAGACGTGTTTGAATAATACAAATTCTTTATCCAAATCTTTGACTCTCCTAGAACTTTGAAGCATGTCTATTGCAACATGTCATGATGCACACCTTACAATTATGAAGTATTATACACATTATAATCTCGCGTGACACATTTGAACTATTTTTATCTTATGAATCATTAGTTTTCTGACACTGATATTGTCAGTGGTAGTGCATTACAATAAATTGATAAAATGATCAAAGTCACATCTCATACTGCAGTACCATGAGCAAATTATAAGTCAAGAAAGATTAAAAAAAAACTGTTGCGTGAGATTTAGTATGTCAATTAAATTTTCAAGTTTTTTCATTTTATAACACCTCGACTATTTTTACAAAAACCGAACAATGAGTGCACATGTGAGACTCAGAAAAAATTATAAGAAAATTTGTGATAATAACGCCAACTAATCTTATATTCGAAAAGTTTTGAGTGTTTGTTGTAACTCTGGGTTTTAGAAAAATTTACACCAAAAGAAATCGATTTTTTAGACCTTATCTACTTAGTATCTTGAGATTTATCAAAGATCAAACGTATATTATCTTCCATGAAAATATTTCCAAACGCAAAGTTTTTGTCAGTTGAAATCACTTATATGTATTCTTGAAATTATTCGCTACAATTTAATCGTAGAGGCAGATGTACGTAACCTAGTTTCTTTTTCAGTTTAACTTTTGTAGAATGAGCCAAGATTGATCCTGTACATTTCTATTTATAATGTACATGTATGGAGAAAACACAGACATGAATAAACCGGTCTGTTTTTCGAATAACTATAAAAGCTATTCAGTGTCGTTTATATTGTATATCCATGATAGAGATCGATATGCGATATCTGTTCGAAACCTGATTTCAGGCCTTAGATAGTATTTAGTCAATTAAAATGAGTTTTTCATAGATTAGATGTTCTTTTTGATGAATTTCTCGGGTGTGGGTGTGCTGAGAGAACATAAATATACCAACACCGACAATCCACCTGCACACTCTCAACGGCAGTAGCTAGCATCAGACACACAATAGGAATACAAAGATCAAGCAACGAAGCATANCGACACTCCACACCCACACCCACTCACACCCACACCATTTTGATCAATGCCTTGGTTCCATGTTTCACTCATGGGCTCTTACTTAGGGAACCTATTAGAGACGCGTATTCCTCGACTTTGATTTGCTTTGGTCACGTTTTATAAAAAATTATTATTTCCACAAAATGCCCCCCTCCCCCGTTATCGAGAAAGTGGGAGATAAATTCTCAGTCACCTGTTCCGTGGTAAGAAAACGGTAACTTTCCTTCCCTAGATCAAAGTAGAAGATTACAAAATCGACTCAGAATTTTAAAACCGATCAAAATGCTGCGAGTTATTTTCTATATGAATGTTCAGTCGTTGACGCTCTACCGAAGAAAATGTGGCACCATATCGAATAGTCCGATGTTTTTAGTATTTGATTTTTTTGATAGTTACTTTCACGTATT